TCTATTAATACACTTAGCACAGCATTACTCTCAAATAAACTATTACGACATCCTGATTTTGCTGTACAAGTAGCCATTGTTTCTTGCATTGGTGAAATATTCCGCATCACAGCACCCGATCCCCCTTTCTATGAAGAAATAATGCAAGACATTTTTCCCTCGATTATATCATCATTTGCATTTCTCACAAGCACATCCATCAATTTGTATGCTACGACAGTTAGGATACTAGATACTATAGCTAATGCGAAGTATTACCTTATCATGTTGAACCTAGATTGTGAATGTATGATAATTGACATGTTCCAACACTTTATTGTAGCTTTAAATGAAAATCATTTAGGGAATGTCTTCACATCCATAGAGACTATCATGATATTTATATTGGAAGAAAGTGACAATATTATTCTAGATTTGATTAACCTTCTTTTGGATAGTGTTCAAAATAANAAACAGTGTGTTGTGTCCCCTATCGTGACTGCTTCTGTAATCGATACACTCAACTTTGACATAATTGAGAAGTTATCTAAAGCAATACCATCAAAATCGAGCATTTCAGATATCATAGATCTCATGCCTACTAGGTTACATGACTTTTGTTTTAGTTTTCCCTCAATTACATGAGATTCCATGGGTTTCCCATTGTTTTCTAAGACCATTACTCGATTGTACATTCTTCTTATCGACATTAGAATGTTGCCCACTAATTATCGACATGCTTTGTTAGCTAATCATAGGGTTGTCCATGTGTCGTTTCAATTCGGTTCTGAAGAGAACCGAACCGACCCAAAACTTTCAGGTATTTAATAAATGGAACTGTCGGGTCCAAATAAAATTATGGAACCATTGGGGTTCGGTTCCGTACCATAATTAAATTTTTTAATATTTACAACAATATTATATAAATACAACTAATGACATTTCATTCGTAACTTTTACAAATTAACGTAGTCCAATTCAAAAACATATAAATAACTAGACGTCTAATAAGATTAATTCAATGCATACAAAATACCAAAAAGTAAATATTAATATTATAACAACACTGCATAAAGTAAATTTATTTGCTTCAAACAGCCTGCCTGCATAAAGAAAATAAAATATAAATTAAAAGTTATAAAAATAAAATATTTTTAAGTATTGGTAATACTTACCACCCATTTGATTTAATCATCAATTACTTGACTTGTCATAGTAAGAAACTCTACAAGCGAAAAGGCATGGTAATAATCTGATTTATGTAATTAATTTTCTATTTTGTTTTAAAAAAATAGAATAATTTGATTAATTCAAATATAAAAAATAAAAAAAATTATTTACTTTCGGTTCTTATTCGATTCTTCGATTCTTAATCTAGACTTGAGACTTGGCCCAAACCCATCGGTTCTCGATTCAAGTACCCGTTTGTGTATTTAATTTATGAAGAACCGCTCGATTCGGTTTGGTCCGGTTCGGTTCGGGACTTTTGGACACCCCTAGCTAATCAACATGTGGACAAAGTTCTTAAATTTCATGCCAAATTAAGAGGTCAAATCATTTTCAATCATGGAATTTTTGAACTTACTTCCGAGGTACAATATATGTTAGAGTACCTTATTGCAAATTATTATACTTTATTGCACGTTTCTCTTATCCGTTTTTTTAAAAACGTGAAGAAAAAGTTTTTGGATCATTCACACAAAGATTTTCGATTTGACTGACCATCTCACTTAAATGAAAGTTATATTTTCAATACAGAAGAATTGTTTACTAATCGGGGCCCATTCGAGCCTTCGATGTTGTGATCATTTTTCTCTACATGCCATTCTGCGATGCTACTTCTTATGCTCCTCATTATGCACAATCAAATGAAAGTGTTAAAGATGAGTTGCATGAGTGTTTGTTATTTGGAGTCCAGTATCAGTACTTGATTATATGGAGAGATCATCCCCCTTGGCCGGATCATATTTTTGGGAATAAGCTGTAGTTTTCGTTACTATTAAGCATAGAGTTTCGATATTTGGTTCTTCATAAAGATCGTCCATCGTGGTAGAAGTTTATCTATTCGACAGGGTCGAGTTTTCTCCCACCCCGGAAGAGTTGATGCGGACATCATCGAGACTTAATTTTTATTGTTATTGGGTTTTATCATTTATGTTTTCTATTATTGGGCTTGTAGTAGTGGGTTGGCCCAAACCCATCACTTAGCTAGGTTTTTACTATTTATAATGTCTTGACATTATGATTTAGACAGACGATGAATGAATGAAAATTAAGCTTTGGCTTGTTGCCACGTTTTCCTCACATACTTTTCCCATTTCCCTGGTTTCTTCTCTAATTTCTCTCCCATTCTCTTCGATTCTTCCCCCTTTCTTGCTACCTTCTATCCTATCCTACATCATGTTGTGTCTGTAATGGAAAGATTCCATATGTTAAAATCTCGAAAAGACAGCAAAAATTCAGTAAACTTAGAAGATGAACTGTAAAAAATGGTTGATTGTGAGCATATAGGTTCGAAAACCCCTGCCCATAGCAATGGTGATGATGTGGAGGCATGTATCATGGACATATTCTGTATCTTAAAATTACGGAGTGACAACTCAAAACTAATAAATATAGAAGATGAACAACAGCCCAAGAGGGATGATTTTGAGTATACGGATAATAAAAACCTCGGGCCATGCACAGTAGACCAATCAAAAGGTGAAAACTTAAATGTGGACGTGAAACCTTATTTCCTTCTACGAATTGGCAGTCTAAATGAAGGAAATTTTGGCTCTTTTGTTGACGCGTGTGGATATGAATCTGGGAAAGAGCTCTATGTCCTTGTCACAATTGATCCGGTGGTCATCCATTCATTAACTAATGACATGCTGATAAATCAATTTTCTTCAAGATGGTATGATAATTCCTCTTCACATTGGGAACATGTACTGAAAGATGATTTTTCATGGAAAAACTGAATACCATGAAGCAATATCTCTCTTTTTGTAATTTTTCCTCGTACATGTTCCCTAATAGTAGCTTATCCGTACTTTAAATTAAGAAAAATTATGGACAAGCAGTCATGGGCGGATTTGGCAGTGGGCTACACTTGGCTGTAGCCCACTGTTGTCCAAGCCCAGATCCATTAAAAAAGATACAAATTGGTTGTAGCCCTTTATTGTTCAAGCCTACTATTGTCCAAACCCGAATTTGACAGTGGGCTACACTATTTTTTTATTCTTTGGCCCATATATTTATTTAATTTTAGGCCCAATTCTTTAAACAAACCTATTTAATTTTTTTAATCTTTGGTCCATTCAGTTTTCCTCTATCTTCACCTAAAAACTCAATTGAAATAAGAGGAAATTACACAAAACCAGAATTTTAAACTTTCAATTTCGAATTTCATATATAAACTTTATTTATACGAAAATCAAATATTAATTCATCTCTATCTAAATTATAATTACCCAAACCCTAAAAATAAAAAATCATTTCACATCTTCATTTTCTCTCTAACCTCTCATTCTCTATCCTCTGGTTGTCTCTCTCACCTCTCGTCTCTCTCTTCTTTTCGCTGCCGTCGTCGAAGACCTCGTAAGGCCGTTGTTACAAGGCTGGTCGTGTACGGTGGTTGGGTAGCGTTACGATCTGTGCGGTGGAGGTTTACGATCTGTGCGGTGGTGGTTCGTCTTTTTTTTTTCTTTCATGAGGTGTGCGGCGGTTTGGATACGATGGTGGGGGTTGGGTGCGGTGGTTTCCGATCTGGAGGGTTTTTTTTGGTTGTTGGCGTGGTGGTGGTTCTGTGTGTTTTGGTGTGGATCGATGGTTCTGGTTGTTCGTGGTGGTTATTGGCATGGTACGGTGGTTCTGGTTGTTGGCTGATGGTGGTTGGGCGGTGGTGTGGTGGTCGGTGAAGGCGGCAGAGATGATGATAGGGTTTGAGAATTTTTTTCAGTTGTAGGATGGGTGGTGGTGAGGTCTTGTTGTTTTGGTGGTAGTGCAATGTGGTGGTGTAGATGTGGGGTACAGCACGTTATGGCCGACGACAGTAGTGTAGATAGTGGTTACGGTGGTGGTGATGAATTTGAAGAAGTGATGGTCGTGTTGGCAGCGATGATGTGGGCAGTGTTGGTGAGGTTGTGGGGGTGGCGGTGGCGGCGGCGACGACGACAACGGCGATGGGTTTGTCATGATGGTGGTGGAATGACGTGACAATGTAGTAGTGTTTTTCTATGATGTGTTGATTAGTTTGAAGTTGTTGTATTGCTGTCGAAGGTGGTGGTAGTTGTGGCGGTTTTGGCAGTGAAAGTGCGATGGTGCTGCTAGAGGAAGTGGTACGGTGGTGGTCACAAATTATTTGATTGATTATGATCATTAAATTGGTTAATCTGTGACCAATAAAAAATACGTGACCCAATGAAAAAGATAAATAGCGGCAAAAAAATAATGCATGGCCTAAATTTTTTTTAATTTGTGATCGATAATTTAACAATTTGTGACTGTATACTAAGTTGTGACTTATAATATTTGTGATTTGTGGTCGATAAATAAATTGTAAAGAATAAACTTTTTATTTGTGACCCATGAATAAATTGTTATTTATAAAATTTCTTAATTGTGACCGTAAAATAATTTATAACACATAAAAATTTTGTTTGTGACAATAAAATAATTTGTGACTTATAAAATTTCTGATTTGTAACCGATGAATAAATTGTGATATATAAATTTTTTGAATTGTGACCGTAAAATAATTTGTGATATTTCAATTTTTTATTTATGATCAATAAACAAATTGTGACNTTTTTTATTTGTGATCAATAAACAAATTGTGACCTATAAAATTTTTAATTTGTGATCGTAAAATAATTTGTGACATATGAAATTGATATTTGTGATCAATTATATGGAATTTGTGACCAAATTATATGAAATTGTGACCTTCATATATTTAATTAGTAAAATATATGTTTAATTAATTAATTTATAAATAAGATTAAAAAATCTCTGAAATTTGAAATTTTAAACTTAATGTCTTAAATTTGAAATTGGTAAAACTAAACTTCTTATTTATGAATGCTTCCCTCGAAATAATTCCCAGAACCTCAAAATCTTTTCACAGTTTCACCCAACTGCTGAGACGACCGCCCTCCGCCGACCACCTACCGGCACTGCCGAACGCACATCATTATAGAAACTAGAAAGTAACTTCTTTAAATAGCCGTGTGGAATGAATGAGCATCTATTCCAATTTCCATCTGCTGAGAAAACCGATCTGAAGCAAAATTGGAAATTTCTCTGTGCTTCGACCTTCACCCTGCAGGTACGTAAACATTACGTTTGACAATTTCTGGCTTTCTGCACAGTGCACTGGAATTGAGTATTTATTTCCGATTGTTGAATTGGAATTGTCGAATTCAGAATGCTTCAGAACTGTCATTTGGAACCATGTAAAATTAGTGCATGGAATTGAGTTTGAGTAGTTATTTAATTATTTCCTAATCCTAATAATGGGATTGTTTGAAAATGTGCAGCTGCCTGTGCTTAAGGGCAGAATTATAGAATTATGTTAAGGTTGATGACAGAAACAGTGGAAATGTTAGCTTTGGGAATTTAGCCATCAGCCATGTTAAATTTTGAAAATGAGTGCTTTGTTTGTGCTAAATACATATGATAGGAATTGTAGAATTATATTAGCTTTGGGAATTTTGAAAGTTAGCTCAAGTGCATTCGGCTATTTAGGAATTTAGGAAATGTTAGCATTGGAAATTTAGCCATGTTTAATTTTGAAAATGAGTGCTCTGTGCTTAACACGAAATAAAATATGCGAAGACGGAAATTCGTAACAAAATGGAGGATGATTTTCTTGCTGATTGTTTAACACTAAACATTTAACGAGAATTTAGTATGAATTTAGACCTAAATTCTATTATAGATGAATTTTATGCTATAAAATATCGTCGGGTACAACTGTAATATGTAACGTTATATTACGATTTTTCTTATTATATATAAATTTTATTCGTACATTAAATTTAAAAAAAAATTGTCCCCGTACCATTAATTCCTGGCTCCGCCCCCTGTACAAGCCTATATAAATTATTGTAAGCATGGTTTTTGTCACCTCATATATACTTGTTAATGATTTCGAGTTATCGTGTATAATAGTGTTTTTTTTTTTTTTTTTGTGATAAATGGAATATATATTTTTATTCAGAGGGGTTCGTAGTATGTTACTTCTTGTGCTATAATTCGTTATATTTGTGGAAGGCAGTTCCATTTTGTTGTTTACAGCTGGTGTAATTACGGGTACAAGAATTTCCTCTTCATGCAAAGGGGACTTTAGATAAATACCCTTAAAGTGGGAACCATTTTGAAATATCAGTATAAATTAAAAGGTAGGGATAATAATTAATAATTAATTATGCATTAATTGAAGGTAAAATCGTATTAATTACTGCACTATAAAAACGGATGATGATTTATTCATTAGATAATTGGGCTAATAAGATTATTTTTGCTTATGTATCCAAATTTCTCTATTTTTTATCTTTCGGTTTATGAACTGGTTTGAAATCAAAAAAATTTCAACTTTTGCCTTGATTGATACCATAAATTTGCCATGGAATCGATTTTCCCAAAATGGCTCCCACGTCCACATTTTCTAAGAAATCATTGAATTGATTTTCCTACCATTTTGGAGGGAAATTGGAATTCTAGGTTTTTATTTTGGCAATTGGAACAAATTTTATAACAAACCGTAAATTTTTTTTCACTTTCATGGATAATTTCCATGTAAAACAAAATCAAACGAACACTAAATTTTGATGAAAATTCATTTTCTAGGATTTTTTTTTTTTTTGGTAATGGAAACAAATTTTATAACAAATTGTGAAAAAAATTATCACTCTAATGGTCAATTTTCAAGTAAAATAAAGTCAAACGAACACAAAAAAAATCCAAAAAATTAAAATTTTTTTGGGTGGAAAATTATACCAATCAAACATATTTCATTAATAATTCCCTGAAAAGCAAGTTCTAGACAATTATTTTCTCTGAAATTCATTTTTTTCCCATTCACTTTCCACCCTTGCAATGAAACGGACCATTAGACTCTTCGTAAAAGATGGATATTTGTGTATGAAATCACAGCATTTGTTGCCTGAATGGGGTCAATAAAAACTTTTAACGATTAATTAGTAATTCAAGGTTGATTACATTTTTGCTTCCAATAAATTTTAGAACTACATGAATGTTTTTTAGCTAATTCAATTTGGAATATTCAAAGTAGTGAATTAATTAAAAATATTGAATTATATATTCAACCTTACATCATATTCCATATTTTACACAAGGGAGTGAAGAAAAATAATTCGATTCACTTTAATGGACAATTTTCATGTAAAACAAAGTCAAACGAACACTAAACTTTGATAAAAAATGATTTTTTAGGAAACAATTTTTTTCTTTTTTTTTTTACTTTTTGGCAATGGAAACAAATTTTATAACTAATTGTGAAAAAAATATTACTATAATGGTCAATTTTCAAGTAAAACAAAGCCAAACGAACACAAAAAAATCTAAAAAATTAAAATTTTTTTGTGTGGAAAATTATACCAATCAAACATATTTCATTAATAATTCCCTGAAAAACAAGTTTTAGACAATTATTTTCTCTGAAATTCATTTTTTTCCCACTCATTTTCCACAATTGCAATGAAACGGACCATTAGACTCTTCGTAAAAGATGGTTATTTGTGTATGAAATCACAGCATTTGTTGCCTGAATGGGGTCGATAAAAACTTTTAACGATTAATTAGTAATTCAAGGTTGATTACATTTTTGCTTCCAATAAATTTTAGAACTACATGAATGTTTTTTAGCTAATTCAATTTGGAACATTCAAAGTAGTGAATTAATTAAAAATATTGAATTATATATTCAACCTTACATCATATTCCATATTTTACGCAAGGGAGTGAAGAAAAATAATTCGAGAACATTCAAAGTAGTGAATTAATTAAAAATATTGAATTATATATTCAACCTTACATCATATTCCATATTTTACGAAAGGGAGTGAAGAAAAATAATTCGGTCCAATTCATTAAGAATGTAATTGTTGGCATCTCAATTTTGTGATATTTTATAATAAAATAAAAATCATTTCTTCATCGTTGCCCAAAAAATAAGTAAAGTCTAGTATTTTACAAGTGGAGTTATAGTATTTAATGTTTGTAAGTTTTTAAATGATTTGGATGAAAAAAATATTCAAAAGTACTAACATTTCACATCTTAATTAAGAATATTTCTGAATCATTATGAATTTTATTCAGAGTTGTTACCAGAAAAATCTTTGTTATATGCTATCCGTGTAGATATGAAGACTTTTTATTTGTATTAGTTGAAGAATGATATCCATTATTGAAAAAATAAATAAAAATTTGTCGAGATTAGGTTCAAGATTTTATTTACATGTTTCGTACATTGACTAGACATTTCGGATAGTATAAAATATTTGTGATATTCAATAGTACTACATATATAACAAATATTCAATGTTATAAAAATCGAACTTGACCGATAAAAAAGTCGAGAAAGCGACCCATATTTCAAAACATTAGTAATACTTGCATACAACTTGCAACAACATTTGAGAAAAACGACGCAGTCTTGCATGAACATGAGTTGAGGTCCTCAACATCTATTGTCTTCATACATGTCAATGTTCGATTCACATTTAAGCCAACCGTACTCGAACTACATGATGCATGGGCGGGGTTGTAAAATAGGTTTTTTTTTTTGTAAATTATATCATTCCTTCTTTCTTTTACAAAAAATAATATAATGAAGGCGATATGAAAAGTATATATAGTTACGTACTATAGGGTATGCATAGACCACCGAAGAATACTTGTAGAAGCGGAAATTATGTAGTTTTATTCTAAGTTAAATTAATGTAAAAGACGATAAAAAAATAAACAAGGAAAAATCCACTTCTGAGTTTAAAACAAATTTATCAAAACTAAAAATTATAATAAAAAGTGATATAATTATATGCACAGTCAAGTTTTGCTCATAAAATAGGGATAATGGCTTACAACAATAATCACTGAAGTTTCTAATGGTTCACTAGTCGTACTCGATTAAAAATATTTTGAAATCGTAATTTTATTATAATTAAATCATAAATTTTTCTATCTTATTATGTATTAAGAAATACTTTTTCATACCTTTAATTTAGATGAGATCACTTTAGTTAAAAATTATTATTATTAATATTGTTGTAAAATTTAAAAATATATAAAATGTGATTTTATTTATTTTAAGTATGCCAGACACAATTAACAAGTCAACATAAATAATTTTTTTATATAATTTAATGAAGCTAATTGAAAATACATTAAATATTTCATATTGCTATATTTATAGTGTAAATTAAAATTATGAAAAAAAATAAACTCAATTAAGTAATCATAAGGCGAGAAAGATATAATGGAAAATGAGGTTTTGTTTATTGTACTTTAAACCTAAAGAAAGGTTCATGCAATTTGCTCAAAAAAATGCAAACTCAGTCCCAACTTGCCTCCTCATCAGTAAGCATGAATCAATTCATATCTATATTGATACAATCATAAAGTTATCAATTCAACAACTTTATTTGTTTTTGCATGCAATGAAGTCAACAAAATGGATTTTACAATCAACACTTGCATGAGAAAACAGTACACGCGTTAACCGTAGTCGAATCCAGTTGTCTTTGCTTTCACGTCTCGTTTTCTGCTAAAATAAGCTAAACAAATGACATTACAGCCTATTGCCTTCTCATATGGCACTATGGCATATTATATCTTTGTGATTAGGTACTAGTGAACAATATTAATAAAGAAAAATATGTTAAAATTTTATTTATTATAGTGTCATCCTTAAGCATTACGCTATGTTCTCGTGGCGATTAGATAATACTGAATAGTGAATACTATGACACAAACACACACTGAGCTCCTGTTTGGTACTGCAACTTAAAAAGTGACTAAAATTTAAGTCCAAATCAACAATTAATTAATCACACATTTATGGGACTCAAAACTTTTCGTTCACACATTTCATCAACTTTTTATCAAAATCTAATAAAGATTTGATTTTTAACTACACCAAATACATGCTAAATAACTTGAAATCTTTTTTATTATATCATCTTGTCCTACTCAATACCGTATGTCAAAGACTCGCAGAACCCTTGTTTGAGCCATATTAAAATTTTCATTCTCATTTTTAACCACACATTTTTCAATAAAATAATATTTTCTATCACATCAATAATTTTTCATTCTTTTGCAACCACACATTCTTCGTCAATCTACTATTCCAAAATACATTCTTCCAAAATAATGTGGCTCAAACAAATATTATAATTACACAAGGCAGCATATTATATATGCTCTCTAACGTACTAACTCTCTATATATAGCTTTAATAATGCAAGATTTTGTTAAAGGTTTTAACTAACTCGTGAGAGATAAGGATGAGTTCAAAGCAAGTAATTTGTGGGTTTATAACTTTGGTTTTGATTTTCAGTCGTTCTTTTCTGTTGGAAGCTCAACTTCAAGTAGGGTTCTATGCAAGTTCTTGTAATTACAATACCGTATGTCAAAGACTCGCAAAACCCCTGTTTGAGCCACTTTAAAATTTTCATTTTCATTTTTAACTACACATTTTTCAATAAAATAATATTTTCTATCACATCAATAACTTTTCTTTCTTTTGCAACCACACATTCTTCGTCAATTTACTATTCCAAAATACATTCTTCCAAAATAATGTGGCTCAAATAAATATTATAATTACACAAGGCAGCATATTATATATGCTCTCTAACGTACTAACTCTCTATATATAGCTTTAATAATGCAAGATTTTATTAAAGGTTTTAACTAACTCGTGAGAGATAAGGATGAGTTCAAAGCAAGTAATTTGTGGGTTTATAACTTTGGTTTTGATTTTCAGTCGTTCTTTTCTGTTGGAAGCTCAACTTCAAGTAGGATTCTATGCAAGTTCTTGTAATTTGGTTGAGTTCATTGTCAAACAAGAAGTTAGAAATGCATTCTCTAGGGACAATGGAGTGGCTGCTGGCCTAGTTAGAATGCATTTCCACGATTGCTTTGTTAGGGTAAGTAAATACTGTACGTTTGTGTGCGTAGTATTGGATTGTAGTGTACAAGATATTCAACTATGTTTTTACTTCTTTTTATTCTTTTAATCCTTAATAATACTGTCTAGTTGAGCATATCAAACATGCAATTATTTGAATCGGTCTTTTTCTTATATTCGAATACCCCAAACTATTCCATGATCCATCAATGCATAACATTAGGATTATGTTTGTTCTTAACTATTTCAAACAACAACAACAAACTATGTTTTATGCCAATAAATCCATGGTCAGCTAGTTTTTACTAGCAAAAAATTCTTTATAACTAAGAGCTAGCATTGAACTCTATTGTTCTTAACAGGGCTGTGATGGATCCGTGCTGATCGACTCGACTCCATCCAACACAGCAGAGAAGGATTCTCCAGCTAATAATCCGAGCCTTCGAGGGTTCGAAGTCATTGACAGTGCAAAGGCTAGACTTGAAGCTATATGCCAAGGAGTTGTTTCATGTGCTGATATACTGGCTTTTGCAGCAAGGGATAGTGTTGAAATTGTAAGCCACTTATGTTGTAATTTGACAATAATCATGCTAAGAACAAGAATCACATATTCTAAATTGATAGGTTGAAATTCATACATGCGGAAGACATTTTTTGTGTATGAATATTACCAACTAGATCTTCCTCTCCTTCCTCCTCAAAAGTATTAGTCGTCTATGGGGCAAGCCAACAAAATGATATAGAGAGTAGAGGGGACCTAACTATTACATAGAAAATTAGAAAGCTGGTCCATTACCGGCTTCAACCCTAATTAGGATTTACATAATTCTGACTCACATACTTAAAATTATCACATTATAAGAATAAAGCCTGTAAGATGTATAACGGTTCAAGTGATCACTTAATATATTGGGTCTAATCACAGTATCATTGCAAACCATACATCTAATTCGTAAAATTCACAATCAAATGGAAGCCCATATAATAGAATTATTCTAACAACTTAGTGCATGTTCTGCAAGTTAGATTGAATAAATACTGTGTTCCAAACACTGACCTTATTGCTCTTGACATTCATGCCAAATTCATAGCACTTTATTTTTGGGAACAAAAATTATAGCGCTTCAATGGAATTTTTTTCTGCAGACAGGAGGATTTGGCTATGATGTTCCTGCTGGTAGAAGAGATGGCAGAATTTCTTTAGCTTCTGAGATACCAGCAAACTTGCCACCTCCTACCTTCAATGTAGGTCAACTCACTCAAAACTTCGCAAATAAGGGATTTACACAAGATGAAATGGTTACGCTTTCTGGTAAGTCGTCTTGTTCATACTACATAGCAACTTGTGGCATGTTTTCTAAAAGAATTATGCTATTTGTACCCTACGGATTACACTCTTCTTTACTCGACCGCACCCCCTCTTTCACATGGGGGTCGGATCCCACGACGGTACAATAAACAAGAATTGTACATTTTAGAAAGGGTTATGCTACATGTACTCTATGGATGACACTCTTGTTTACCGGACCGCTCCCCCCCCCCCCCTCCTCACAGGGGGGTCGGATCCCACGTCGTCTAGTTCGTGTCTGTGTCTGATACTATCTATATTCATCAAAGCATTTGATTTGAACACTGGAAGTTGTTAAGATCTGCCGTGTTTTGCTCTGATTTTATTCGTTATCTGTCTCGACTCTACTAATAAGCTGCTTGTTCGTCTTACGTAGGTGCTCACACCATTGGCCGCTCTCATTGCACCTCCTTCAGTAACAGACTATACAGTTTCAACTCAACGACGAGTCAGGATCCGAGTCTAGACCCAATTTACGCAGCCCAACTAAAGCAGCAGTGCCCACAGGGAAGTTCAAATACGAATCTGGTGGTTCCCATGAATCCTTCGAGCCCAACCGTAACTGATGTGGGTTACTATAGAGACATTATAGCAAATAGAGGCCTTCACACTTCAGACCAAACTTTGTTGACAAATACTGCAACGGCTGCTCAAGTTATTCAGAATGCTCAAAACCAATTTATATGGAGAAGTAAATTTGCAGCTGCAATGGTGAAGATGGGTCGAATTGGAGTCTCGACTGGTAATGCAGGAGAGATCCGAGCAAAGTGCAGAGTGATCAATGGTTGAAAGTTAGGAAATTATCACACATGGTTATCAGAGAGTATTTTTGCTCGTCATGTAATCTGTACCTAGATACAAATAAATGGAGTGTGAATTAATCCAGATGCCAAGGTACCTATGTCTGCCTGTAACACAAATCCTCAATCTTTGCCTCTCCAAATATAACGTAGGTTTTGCCTTTTGGAATTCGGGCTTCTGAAAGCATCAGCTTTGGAGATGAGAAAAAAATATTTGCAACATCGGGACAAGGTTAGAGGTAGCATGAGAAAGAAATCCACAATTCTTTGATGTGCATAAATGTAGGTAAACCGAACTTCAAAATAAATAAATAAAAATTAATCACTTTAGGTGGTATGTTGAATTAAAAGTAAAAATAAATATTGTACAGACTTAGACCCTGTTTGATCCGGATTAAAATCTGATTTTAATTTCAAGCGAAAATTAACAATTAATTTTAATCACATATTTCATGGATCCACAACTTTTCAACCACACATTCTATCAATTTTTATTAAAATCTACTAAAAATCCAATTTTAATCTACAACAAATATGGGCTTAATTTGAAGGTGGTTCAGCTTGGTCAAATTTTGTAGGTCTTAGCCCGACCTATCGTTAAAGGTACAAAAAAAAAAAAAAAAAAA